TTACAGCACGCGCGGCGTAGCTAGTTACCGACCCGATCGTGCTCGGCAAGCTTAACGAAACGGATTTAATCATGCGCACAAAACGGCACTGTAGTAATCTCATCGCTCCAGCTGCATTCTTTTAATTTATTTCGATCGTTCTGGGGTTAGAATATACATACATGTATGGATTTCCCGCGCGTATCGCGAGTCGAGTATTAAATGCAGAAGACAGATTCGATTTATTTATATGCGAAAAATTGCTGCTTCGTAGAATTTTCTTCTGCTCGAAGTTTCGTTAGTTCCTAATAGAGTTACAGAGCGTGTCTCCGAGATCGTGCTGTTTCTCGTTTCTCGTTTCTCTTTATTTTTATGTATTTGCAAAGCGTTGTAAAGCAAGTTGTATACGATCAATTGAACTTCATCGTGAATGATTCACCCGGTCGACAACACATCGGGAACTTGGAGGGTGAACTCTTCGTTCTTGATCGCTTTTACGTATGCATCACGTATCTATTGTATATTTTTCTGAAGTCGATAAGAGAACATTTTAGACTCGATTATCCCTTCCTAAATCTCGTGAGGCGTGTAAAGTATACGTTAAGTCACGAATTCCTCTTTGAAATTTTGTTATCCCTTTGTGTCCTGAAAGTTCTTTAAAGGTCGACTATTGTCAACTGCTACTGCAAAACCAAATATTCTTAGATTTTCGAAAAATTTAACTCAAAATAAATGTTTGTAAAAAATAATGCATATTATCGTACGTGTTGTAGAAATGATCTTGAAATATCTACAACAAAGATAGCAACAAGAAATGAGAACGACATGATTCAGGGCATAAAGGGTTGATTGGAACTATGCCCGCTCCGTTATCGGACTATCGTTCGCGAAACTGTATCCGATTACTCGAAACGAGCATCGTAACACCTCGCGTTACTTATATTTTCTAATCAACCGTCAATGATGTAACGACAAAAATAAAAATTTATTCGTTATTTATATAACAGCGCAGTAACTGTATCTTGACCGCACTACTTTTACCAGACAACCTCTCCCCACTTTGGTCCCGCTAATGCAATTACATTCTGATCTCGATCCTCCTACCAATGTTTTCCGCTTTCATGAGAAAATGATATGAGACCGACGATGGACATTACCCGACACAATGCCACGCAACAATCGCCGATATCGGTGGTTACATGGTGAAGAAGACAAATCCACGAACAACGCGGAGTCTTGTATATTATAGTTAAGGGGTTATCGTCGCGCGACAGCAATAAAGTTTCGCTGAACGCGCGATGTTGCTCACCCCGTTCGAGGGGCGAAGGTCACTTTGACACGACGTAATTATGCAATCGAAGACAATTCATTCATATTGTTGCGGTATCTTTCACGCTTTTAATATGAAAAGCTAATCATTTACGCGGCAAATCAGAAACTCAATAATAATCTTGTATAAATGCATAACAATAAATAAAAATGATTATCTTCTGTCTGTTTTGCCAACGCCTCTTTTTCCTGAGAACAGGTGCCTTGGCATCTTCGTGCCGATGAAACGATCCGCTTCTCCCTTCAAACCCTTCTTTGCGATCTTCTTCTTGAGAGCTTTGTGAGCTATATTCTTCAGCTTCGTTTTCATTGTAGCGTCTTTGATACCCATCTCGTCGCGGGCTGGTCTCGAACTGCTTCGAACTCGTGACTGTGAGACAGATTCCATACGCATACGTTTCCTGGCTGGTTGCGACAAGGATCTCGAACGACCTCTTGTTTTGGTGAAGTGAGCCTATTCCAAGCAACGTAATTAGTAATCATTTTTAACTCTACCTTCGCCTTAAATTCTTAAAGTTTGATTTATATTTCAAAATTAAATACGATTAAACCATTTACATCTTCGGTTTCTTCCATATCAATGCCCAGATCCTCCATTTGCTCCTTCAACTTCGTCACCGACCTTTCTCGCCCTCTGGACATGGCTGTACGTGGCATTACAGGTTTCGTAGAAGCCTTCTGAATTCGTGCCTCATCCTTCATAATTATTTTCTTGTCCCGAATTTGTTTAGCTAGTTGCACGATTTCCTTCATTGTCTCGGACAACTCTGGTACTTTGTAATCGTACATTCCTGCCTCCTCCCGAAGCTCTTCTTCTTTTTCAAGTGCATTCAATTTCTTCAAAAATAAATAAAGAAGGTAAGTCATCAGACACAGGTTCCAACAAGCGTCACAAAGTTTAAGTAATTAGAAACCTCGAATATATCTGGGTCTATATAATCAGCAATATTATGTCCTTCCCAAATTTCAGGAATAATATCGTATTTTTGGTCTCCCTCGATATCGTAATTCTTCTTTAAGTCGAGCACGTAATCGTCACCCATTTCTTCTTCTATTTCTCGCTCTAATTTTCGTTTTCTTGGTATTTGTTCCGCAGCTGCTTGCCTCTTTTTAAGAACACTCTCTGGAATGCAAGGTGCACGAACTTTACTGTCCCTTGGTACTGGTTGTGCGACATGTAAACGATTCAGTAATCCCTCCACCTATAATTTAATATAATACATGTTTCTACAAGCTTTACGTTTATACAGCAGTATTTAAAATACACTTATTTCGATCTACCTTCTTCGTTCGTATTTTCTGATCAACGCGATATGACAATAGACGTTCACAAGCTTGTATCTTAACATCCATCACTCCGAAATCTGTTATTGTACTCATTTCTAAAAGAGGCACTTCTTTGTCTTCTAATGATTTTAAAAGCGTGTGTTTCTCAGGAGGAAGTTCCTCCAACCGTAAGACATCTACTTTATTGAGTACAACTGTTAAAGGTTTATTTGCAAACAAAGGTTTAATAGATTCAAACAGTTTCACCTGGAACAACATCATATAGTTCATAACTTTAATCAAACAATGTTGTCACTGTATGAACCCAATTGAGAGATTTACTTGTTCGTCCAATGTGTGACCGCATTGCTCCGATATGTCACAAAAATATAGTACAGCTGCTCGCAAATGCGCTAATGCTGTTATCGCTTGCATTTCTATAACATTTCTTTCCTCTAATGGATGATCCAAAATTCCAGGTGTGTCAATCACTTGCCACCTTAAATACTTATAATCCGTGTGACCAACATATAATGACTTTGTTGTAAATGCGTATGGCTGAACTTCAACATCAGCACGTGTGATCTATGAAAAGTAAATAGTTATCTATCTCTAACCAAGTCCTGTGCATAAGTACAACATAAGATAAATTCACCTTGTTTATAAAACTGCTTTTTCCAACATTTGGAAAGCCACAGATTATAATGGTACGGGTATAAGGATCTATACTAGGTAAACGAGCTAAATGCTGACGAACTTGTTCCAAATATGCAAGATTTGCTGCTTGCCTTTTCATAATAGTAGCCATCCGACCCAAGGCAGCCTTTTTTAATTGTTTACACCGATACAAAGAATCTCCAAATTTCATTAATCGCACATAATCTTTTGCTACACTGTTATAATAAAATAAAAAATATATTTGAAGTTACATATGTATAAATAGAATAATATAACACGATACTTTGATATACATACGTGTCAATCAAATGTCTTGCTATATTTATCTGACCAAGAGCTAGTTTGTAGTGATCTTTATCATATAAAACATTCATTAAGTCAGCATAAAAGGGATGAACATCGTCAAGCTTTGGAAATTCTTGTATTATTTGAGATAGTCTGTCATGAAAATTTTGTTGTGTGAATTTCACTTTACGCATATAAAATGAACGTATCCTTGTAATTTTATAATTTTTGTGAACGACTGTTGGAGTTTTACGTTGTGTTTTCGATAATATTATATCGATGAAGTCCTAAAACAACAAAAATGATATTAAAATAAAAAAATAATCATTACAATCATAAAATTTATGGTGCATCAACTAACCTTTGCAGTAGGGACCACCGCTATTTTCTTAAAATTGTACAAACCCATTTTTGTTTTTTCGAAGAACTATAACTTTATAAAAATGTCACACTTCATAAGGCGCACGAGACCAATACGTTTCGCTTTCAATTTTAAACACAATTTCTAACCTTATGCAGAACATGAGCACATGTACAACATAGCACAGATACCAAAGTAGTAGAGGGACTTTCTCTTCCAATATGAAAACGTCAAAAGTCTCAAACGATCACAACGCTACGACGCCAATAATAGGAACTTAATTTATTGTCAACTTACAATCAAAAACATCCATTGAATATTACAATATAAGAAGAAGCTTTTAAAGCTTGATATGAAACTTCTTTGTTGTTTTTATTTACAATACTATTATATTTTACTTGATTATTCAAATACATGTATGTACACTCATCATGCTGATATGTACATTAAACAGAAAGGGTTGCAATTTTGGTATAAGCAGGGAGAACAAGAAACATATTTATTATTAAATTAAGAATGAATATAAGTTTTGTTTGAATGAAAATTTATATAATTTTGTAAAATTTATTTTTATGTAATTAATGGACAGTAACGAATTTTGTAAGTGCTATAGTATCATAAGTTGTGTTTACAACAGTATTCTAAATCAATGATCACAACGTTAAATTTACAATTACAAATTCTGTTAATTGTATGTTAGATATGCAATTTTCGACAAATGACAAATAACTATAACTATAACTTTTATGTTTCTTTAGTCTAATTTCCTTGTATTTTTCGATTAGACTTCCAACAATTTAAAAGTAAAGATATAAGAAAATAGTCCATCAAGCAGTGCGCAGGCGCAACGGCGAGTACTTGGAATTGGCTAGAACGGGTAAAGAAGAACGGTCAACAACGGGGAATTTCTACTGCTTTGAAACCTTTTGAAGTCTGTAGTTTATATCACAAGTAGAGTTTTTTTTACCAGTTAAAGAAAATGTTGCGCGTAAAAGCGCTAACGTCAATACAAAGAGGGAAGAAGCAAAAATATAGTACATAACTACAAATTATAAGGGAAGATGCTGCTGCGTCAAAGGTATAGTAGCTTGCAAACGATCGAAAGCTAGCGGGAGTTGAACCGATTCGCACCGCCATCTTGGAATATAACCGTGCTCGATCATTGCTAGACCTTTTGTTCAAGGAGGGAACTGTCAGTGCATGTACACATACATACATTCAAGTTATATTTCGCGTGTTTTTTCTACTTTTAAATTTTAATCCAACGAAGCATGGTCTAGAATTTCAATCATAATTCTCTTATTTTATCATTTGTGACGTATCTGTCTCTCCTTAGTGAATTAACGTTTATAAAAGACGCACGTACGAACTCTATCCGTTGCAGCCCTTTTCATTTTACATTATTGCGAAAGAAATACAAGTTACATGTCCTTCCAAAATGTTGCTATATTATAGAATTTCGATAAATTCTCTACTGTAGAAATTACATTCGGTACGTTTTAAATAAATAGAAGTAAAAAGGAATTTTTAGTGTGTAGAGAATTAGAAAATATAGAACAAGAAAGGTCATTCGAACGCTTTAGAAACTTTCGAACAGGTACATGCTAGTTAACTACGTATAAAAGTTTTTAGAAAACTTGTTTTCTTTTTTTTACATTAATTTAAGATCAGTATCATACCGTTTTTATAATTGTTCAGTCTATTTATAAAATATATAAACGATCCGTTAATTTACATAACAGTTTTTTTTACACTTGCATGCTTATTGTTTTCTCAATTGTTTCTATTGTTGTATATTACTCAATTTATGAAATTTGTTAAATTTAAGTAAGTAATAAAGTATTTGGGAAAATGGATTTTATCTTCAAGTTGCACTTGATAATTTCTTATATTGGTAATTTTATTTGTTTACTTGTTTATCATTTCTTCAGTTTTAAATGAAAAAAATATATAGACTGAATACATTTTATAAATATTTTTTTATGCAGAATAAAAACACAACAAGCAAAAGGTATTGCACAGTATCCAATACATTAAATTCCAAGTAGGTTTGGATAATGAGGATAACCTTGAAAATATGAGATTCTCAACATTGGAAGAACAGGAGTACGGGGTAGGATTACCTCAGAAACAACTACTTCATACAAGTGAAACTATGATGACTACTACAGATTCCATGGAATTAAAAGAAAATAATGTGTTCGAAGAAGGATCCGTAGTATCCAATCTTCCTTTATTATTTGCTAACGGACATCCGATATCACTGGAAAAAATCACATTAGTATGGATAAGATTGTTTTCAATGTTTTATGTATTTCAGATGTACTTGTATATTGGTCGATATCAGATAATTGTACAAGAAAATATGATACAATAATAACATGTAATTTTAGGCACAGTTGGAACGGTTTGTAACATTCATGGTTCAGTGTTCATTAGGACATGACACTACTGACGTGATCACTGAACCACGATGGTGGCCAAAAGAAGTGAAATTCTCCAATCCTTTGACAAGACCTAAAAGAATCAATGAAGTAGGTTAATTATCTATATTATGGTGCACTATAAAAGTGAGTGATATGCATTAATAATGAACTGGTTTAAAATATTTATCTCGTTTTAGAACTGGATGGCAAATTTGAAGAAGTTGGTATTCAGATGTTATACATACCACAGAAGCGAATATTTATTACGATTTTGTTCTTATCTTGCCCGTTATCCACATGATGACTTAGAATATGTTAATAATTGGGATTCCACAACAAGTCTTTATCACAAAAGTACTGGAAAATTATTAGTCACATTTCGTAATGAAAACATGGTCAGCAGTTATAAAAGAGTTGCACTTAACTTTGTATAGTTTTGTTCTATATCTGAAAATATTTTTTCTCATCCTTAGAATTATGACAAAAAATATGAGAGTCCGCGGAAAAAATTACTCTCGTGTAATGGAGTCGCTTCTTGTAATTCTCATAAGTTAAAACAACAACAGCAACAGCATTCCATTGTAATGGTGGAACCGTCATCAGGAGACATTTATTTATGTGACAATTGCGATGCTGAATTTATTGGCCTAGAAAAGATGAAGGTACTATAAACACACTATATAATGAATATTAAATAAAAATGAATACTGCATTACAATATCTTTTAGGAACACGAACGTACATGCGGTGAACAAGAACAAATTAGAAGTAGCTCACGGCCTGCAACGCCAGATGTATTAATTCCGGAACCTGAGTTGAAGCAAGATCAATTTTTAGAATATTTTCGATTATGTTCGTCAACTACAAAATCAGTATCGATTGAAACGAATAAAGATATAACAACTAATAACAATACCGGTGAACGAAGCTCACGTCGTGTCCGTGGTTCTATTAACTTCGCAAGGTGTTCAAGTATTCCTTTTTCATCTCCTGCTGGAATATTATTAGCTAAAAAATCAAAAGCCATGACTGAAGATACCCAGCAAGAAAGATTAGAGAGGATAGAAAGACATCTTGTCGCTCCTGTTTTGAATAATGCATGTAAACCTAAATGGTTGGAAACGGAGTTTGACAATGATAGATGGATTGTTACTTACAAACCGAACAAAGAAAAAGTAATAGATAATTATGTGCACCAATATCAGTTTGTAAATACTGTTAAAAAAAAGCCAAGTGAGTACTCAATCTTTAAACGTTTTCTTCATATAATAACGTTGATGAAACATGTGAGTGAAGAACTTGGAATCCGGTAGCACTTTTACAAAAGTTGTTTCTTTCTTTTAGTGTTAAGTATACATTCACAATTGTTATACCTAGCTTGCCGACCTGTATGTGTTCTCTTGACACGGCTGACGCAAGAAGATATGAATGATTTGAAACGAAAGCCATTGAAATACAAGCATGTTGATCAGAAGATGTCAATCGACAATGAGGATCCAGTAATAAAAACGATAGAAAATGTTACGCCCAACGTCTCCTCGAAACGCAAAGCACCAAGCGATGAAAACGATCCGAATTCAATGGAGAAAGACGATGAGATATTTAGTAACGAGGCAAGTGTTGGAAATTTATCTCTTTCTGGAGTCACAGAATGCTGTGACAAAAGCAATGTAATTGTAGTAGACAAATCAATAAAAGAAACAACTTTCTGCACAAATACGTCGAACAGGGTTACAGTCATCGACCTTTGTTCATCGGACGAGGAAGAAAATTCAATTACATCTGCACTCTCAGATGAAAATAGGGATCCTCTGAAGTATATCGCCGATGATGTGACAAAATCTTTGTTACAGAACTTTTCATCGACAAAACATCAATTATCAACCCGCCCAACGGATCAGTTAGGCGGATGGTTAAGTGATAATATCATAAACAGTGGTAGCGAAACTTGCACAAGCAAGTACCGTAGTACAATATTTAATGCGCGTACAAATATGTCTCCAATACTCAGACCAGCACCTTAAAGTCTCAGTAATTTGGTGCATAATGTTCACTGTGCGCGCGTTACATTTGTTACAATATTTATTGTTTCTATTTTACACGATCATTGAACATTTAATAATTACATAATACACGCAATTCTATCATTTGCAGTGCATTGTAAAGCCTTATGAGAACCCTTACTAACGTTTGTAACACACGAAACCAGTTTCGGTATTTTCAGTTCGTAAGTGTCTAATCTATACAATAAAGAATTGTGTGCACTTTTTATACTTCATGTAATGTTACAAAAAAAAAAGAAGAAAAAAGAAAGAAAAAGAAGGAAAAGAATAAAATTAAATTTCGAACTGTTCACTTATTTGTAATCGAGATTGTTCCTGCAATTCGTTACACGTTACGTTAAAAATTTGTGTTTTGTATTGTGGAACGACGTTTTCTGCCTTAATATGATAACTTTAACAACTTCGTTTAATTTAAGAACACATTTATATGTAGGAAAGAAACAAATAAATCACATTTTTATTCTTGTTTTTTCTTCTTTGGTTTGACAATCATTTTCTTTAAGGAGGAAAATAATTTTTCTTTCCAATCCATTTCGATTTTCTTTAAAACTAATCTTTTGGTTGAGATATTGTGAAGCGGACCGAACGCAAGAGCAACTGCTGTACACGCTAAGCAAATTACGTTATATGGCATGCTGAAGTCAGGCGTAGGCAGGCTGACGAGTAACGATTCTGTTCTTAGTTGTACCAAATATCCGGGTCTTGAAGCATTAAAGCTAAAAATGTAATTGCATTGTTAATAAAACCTAATCGAATTATGTATATAGTGCTCCGAATTAAAATTTTCATGTACAACCTGGATGTTATAGTACTTCCATCGAGTGGTAGGGCAGTGTAATTTCTTGCGACGGGAAGTAAAGCAGTAATGATGGCTGAACCCATATAAAATCCGTGATTGGCATCTGGTGGATATTCTTGCCATTTAAGAAATGAATAGTCCATTTCTATAGAAAATTTCGTTACTGATTGTGGTGGTAAACGCAAAATCATTTCTAGATAATACGGACTTTTCCTTTCTTTGCCAGGCAGATAACGCTGAGCCACTGAAATACACAATCACGGTTGACGAAAACGCTAAAAGGAATGTGGCGTGTTTTATAGATTATTACTTACATGGAATAATACGTTGTCCTCCGCAAGTTATTGTAACAGTATGAAAATATACTGGCAAATACCATGGAATATTTTCTAAGAGAACTACGTCCAACGATTGCCAGTAATTATTGTAAAGTTTTGTCACCAAACTACCCCTTTCTTGTCCATACCCTATACAAGAAAATTATTCTAGTTCGTCTAAAGACATTTAATTATAATTTACCATTTTATACGTACCGATAATATATCTATTTGCAAACAAAATTGATGGATAATTTAAACTAACTTTAATACCAGCGGTATGCGTGACTTCAATATTAAATATTCGTTGCGCGGAGTAAGATCTAATATCATATACAGCGATTTCGTTTAATTGACCGCCTCGAAGGCTAGTAATTTTAGCACTTGGGGCAGGTGTTAATCGGTAAACTTGGTTAGTATTATTATTCGATACATCGACGTACACATTGCTCAATGAAGCAAGTGGACACGCCCCTTTAATTCCAATTCCAAAAAATTTACGCACTGACCAATTCTATAAGGATAAATTGCATGAAAATAACGAATATTTCAAATTTATGAAAGTTTAACAAAAAAATTACCTGAGATGTATCTACCATAGTATCATATATCAGTGAAACAGTCTGTCGTAGTTCTAATGATGCTTTTGTGCAGATCGCATTTGAACATATCACACGGAAGTGAACTCCAATGGAATGATAATTTGTATTATGAATATATGCAGAATTTAATAATGTTGCTAAACCTTTCTATTGGAAAGGAATAACATATGAATATTTTCTTTTTCAACCTAAAAGTGATCTTACCTACAACTTATGTGCATACCTTAGAATCGCATGGTAATAATTTCTTGAAGGGCGTTAAATTTTCTGTACAAACTATTTCTCTAGGTAAAGATGAATAGCGTAAATGACTAGAATTAACGTTATTATTCTCTACAACACCACTAGGCCGGAATGTGAACTCAGGAGACATACTATTCGATGGATTAACGAAATTTAGAGAGGCACAAAACAGTCCAGCTAATGCATTTGTCAAACCTTTCCATTCATTGTCAACGCTAAGAATACAACAAATCATTTTATTTTGAAAATAATGTATTATATTGTATAAAGTGGTATCTTACTTGATAACATCTTTATGAAACCATGTGGTTATTTCAGCACCAGGACCTGCATCATGATAGGGGTACCCCCATTTTTGGTAATTCCATAATCCTTTGGTTAAAGTGAGATGTAATTCGTCTATACCATGACGACTTATAATTTCTCCAAGCCCTCTTGGAAATAAATGGGAATGTTGTACTGGAATATAAACACATGTTACAATAAAAGATTTTTTAACAATTTTAAACAGTATTATCTCACTAATAAAAATACGTTATTAAATCCTTAAACTCACATGTTTTTGATTCTTTGGGTGCCTCCCACACAGTGGTAAATTGAAAGTATGCATAAACATGATTGCTTGACAACGGTTTTAACATTAACTCTTCGTCGAAGAAATCATTATGCGGGGACACGATTTTAATAATATTTAGAAGCACAAAAAGTAAGAGTGGCGTATATAAATGCATCATGTTTTAAACGAAAGTACATTTAACCAATCCGGTGCACTGTCAATATCGTTTCAATCGTAAAATAAAGACAAATATATGTTTGACATTAGAAAAAGTGTTAGAAATTGAACTAAAGAATTAGAAGCAAGACATTGATGTTCATGTTTTATCACATTCTACGATTATTTCCAATTCATTCTACTGATCGTCCACTATCGGCGAGAGGAATGTAAACACAGGGCAGAATGAATGGAAACTAAATCTAGAGATTTTATAAGAAATTTACTAGTAGGATGGTAATACAACAGTTGTTACACCTGCCAGTAACAATAGGTGGTTGTTTCCATGTCAAAATTAAGTTGGATGAAAAGATGTATATGCGGCAACTCGATGTACTTGTTTGTCAATGGATAATGGTCGTATACCCGCCAAGGGATCGATAGCAGCCGTGGGTTGTTATTCCGTGTCTAAAACGTCAGTGGTGACGTACGGTTGTTTTGCGACTGAAGTACAGGAGAAACAGAATTAAATCACGCATCAAACATGGAAACAGAAGAGAGCGATGCACACCCAAAACCGACGACGATGCGCAGTGAAAAGAGCACTGCTATCGACTACGATGAAGATAGAGTAAGGTTAGAGTTACTAGGTTGCGTTTAGTAATCTGTATTTAATTTTCTATTCGATGTTTGCTTTTTTCTAATTGCCGATAATGATACTAGGGACATTAACTACTCGCTGATTTCAGCTGCACGAGATGACAGCGTCTTACTCCGAGATATCATTTGACTCGCAATCGTCGCCGCCGATCTCAGAATTAAGATCGCTCATTGATTCCCCGGATATTGACGGAACGAAATTTTTGGAGGATAGTTTGGAAAAAATGAATGCAGTCGGCGGAAGGCCTGATCAGTTGAATTTAAAAAACAGAGAGGATAGTCCGGTCGAGGATGAGGAAGTCGATCCGCCGAGCTATCACAAAGCTATCGGCTATTTACAGCTCGAAGGAACCGTGATGCAAGACGGTGATATGGTGTTGTTCGTAACAGAAGATTTGGAAAATAAAATTAAACTCTCGAGTCCAGTGACGAAAAAAGGGGAAATCCCCTCATTTCCAGGCTCTCGTAGTTCCACTCCTTGTTTGTATAGGCAGGCACTGACACCCCAACTGCCCCTTCTTGATCACAATATATTAAACGAGCTAGAAATGGAAGCGAGAAAGGTCGCAACTTCCGTCGATGCGCTGACAGAAAATTTGGCCGCAATTTTGCACAGTGTAAATCATTTTCCTTATTTTTAGAATTTTTAATTTTTAATTATCTTAATTAGCGACGTCGCAGATGCCATCGAAAACTGGCGTTATTCTCGTAAAGACGCAAATGTTCGATTCTTGTATAATAAGTAAATTTAACGTTGATTGTACTCCAATGTTAACTGTTAATATTGGAAATGAGACATTTGAATGTTTAAGAGTGTTGGTAAAATGTGATCAAACATTTTTTTCAGGCGTCCGCGTTGACAGTCGGATGCTTGGAAGCTTACAGGGACGCTGTATGTAAAACGTGTGACGCGGTAGACCACAACATTAAATCAATGTACCAATTGATGGCGAAATGCGAGGAGTTGTCGAAATCAATGGGACCGGTGTACAAACTGGCCGAACAAATGTAAGTATAAAATGCCTTTATCTGATACCTTTCTCAAGATCGCTCGTATTTATCGTCGTCTAACATTTTTCAGTAAGGAAATGAAGAGGATGTTGGAACTGTTCGAAACTGCGATGAATCTGTGAACTGTACACGGTGAACGTATTTCCACTCTTCTATGTTATTTCTACGTGTAACGATAGCGGTTGTTTCTGTAATGTACAGTTAATAATATGAGATAATTAAAAGTTAATAATATGAAAAGGTTTCGAGAACGTTTCTTACCTGTCTGTTTTGCTTAATTAACGGACAGGCTTGGACAAAGATGAAGATGAGGCGGTCGTCGAGCGAGAGCCGGCGGCTGAAAACAAGATTTCGCGGTGGCACGTTTCCGGCGGCGCTCGAACAAATAAGTCGAGTCAGACGCGGAAAGAGCAGAGTCCGGGCAGTCGGTTCATTCTGCCCACCATTCCTCCCCCTTTTTTTTATTTTGTATGTAGACACCTATACGCATCTTTCACAGGGCGATCTCACAATGAGCGGCTCTTTCTCTTTCTCTCTTCCGCCTCTGTCTCTCTCTTTCTCTTTTTCCTTTCAACAGGAACACAAAGTTTGCTGGAAAACTCGCGGCATTATGTTCCCCATCCATTCTGAGCCGGGCACAATGTCAACGCGTAATTCGAGCGTATTTGCGCGGTTCGGTGGCCCGTTGTAAACCGGAGCGGTAAATAACATTATCAAAAAGCGACAGGCGTCGCGACGCGCGCCTCATTTAGCGCATTCGGCCGCGTGTAATTATTAAAGACAGGGATGATTTTAATCCAGCATGGGGTAAAAAAATAGGTGGGGGTGCGGCGATAGCGGACAAACACCTCGTTAATTTGTCCTGTCCCGACGTTCATTCATCGTGCGCGCGTGTAAACCTGCCAGTGCACGCCGCGTATTGCTCTTTACGAGGGTGTTCGCTCTTTCGCGCGCTCTGAATTCTCGTTGTCGGAAACCGATTCCCTTTCCCTGACGAGGGTGGAGCCTTCATCCCATGCAGGACACAATCTTCTCATTGTCCGGGAGCCGTTTCAATTACCGTTTAAATTTAATTAATTTACGCGAGCGTGCAAATTATTAGAATCTACGGTCGCGATAAATCTTCATAAAGAATGAAAAGCTGATTCATTCTATGATAAACGCGAGCCCGATTTAATTAAGATCACTACAGACGGCGCAATACAATTAGGCGCGAAGATATTTGTTTATATTACGCTTGCGATAACAGAAAGTTTGCAATCCTTTTTAGTTTCCTCTGTCCACCATGGCAATCTTCAATTATCTGTCCCGACCACCATCTCACGTCTTCCCTTATAGATGAATTAGCGAATAAACAGAGAGACTTGTAAGGAGATAATGTAATTGCCTCCGTTATCTCGTGGCTCCACGCGGTTATTTATCCGAACTCATCAATCTTTCCCGTCTCCTATCTTCCTTCCTTCGTTTACCCGTTGCCTCTAACGTATCCCGTCGTTTCAAGGTAACGTTTGTTATTTTTCTTCAGGAATAATGGATGTCCACCAACACTCATGGTATCTACCTTGTGGATATATACCTAGGCGCAATGCTATCTTTTTTGTAGTATTTTACGTAGATACGAGCGAGAGATAACTGATTCGGCGACGTCCCTCGCCTCGAGGAGATAGGGGACGTCCCTTTCGTTGCTCTCGCGATGAAGTAATTCAGTTTTAATCAGTAGCCCTAGCGGGAGCAGGGAACGTTAAGTTAAGGGAAAGATGAAACGTTGAAATATTCCTTTTCTTTCTTGATTTCGTGTACTACTGCAACTGTTCTGCTACCCAAAAAATATTCAAAATATTAGCATAAATATTTTTGCACCCTCTCGTTACACAAACTTACACGAGATCAAACATTAAATTTACTACTTTCCATGACTATTTAATTTCTGCATCTCGATCGATACTATTGTATTTCACTTTACCGCTAATCAAAATATTTTCTACCTGGGAATAATTATTGCAATAGACACTTGGTTCGTTTGATCGAATACTTTGCGCCGCTACCTGACTGGAGGAAACCGAATCTTTCTCAATGCTGACCGCAGGAGATGCGCGATCGAACCGCGACGGGCTGTGCGTGAAGGGGTGGCAGGGATCAAGAAAAGGGAGAGCGGAAAAAGAACGAGAGAGAAAAAGAGCGGCACAGACGGAGAGAAGGAAAAGAAGGAAGGAAAGAAGAACGTAAAGGAAAACGAAAAATGCTCGGCAGATCACAGACCGCCTAATTAAAAGACTTGCCGTCACGCGGAATCTTCTTTCTTTCGTTTCACCGGTAGCTGGTTGCGGTGAAATCTCAGGAAACCGACGTCTCTCTCTCCTTTTGTCCTGTCTTTAACCCTGTCTCGCGCACGTATCTATGAACATCCGTTCGTGCTTCTTTGGTAATGAGTTGGGGGTGTCTTCTTTCAAGCGTTGTCGCCCCTCCTCGCGAACACGAAGTAAAAGAAACGCAGACCGTCGAGACATCGATATTTGCATAAAGCGTCGCGTTGTGCGGGTTGGATAACGCAGCTCGTTTTCCAATTTTCCAATATAGTCACCACTTGAACTATACAAGATGAGTATGTTTAACATCATTGTGTTCGTAAACTAGTCATTCACATTCGAACCACCCCTACCACTTTGCCTAGACATATTGCTAAATTGTTCCGGCAATGTTTTCCATCTCTGTTAATACCATTTTTCTACATCCTAAATTAACATTTTAGTATGGCATCTTTGTTATAAAGTTTGCACGACAGTTTACGATTCACCCTGTATAACGATAACAGACATATTGCACGGAACGATTTAATTGAGCTCCATCATCACTCTTTACACATGTACCTCGTTGAAGATTACCAGTTTGAGTTTCAATATCAATAGCATTGAAGAAGTTGCAAACATTGACATTTATTTAAATCAATTGCTGTAATTAATTCCATCGGTGCCGGTCATCGATGGCTTTCACAGCACTCACGGTAACACGTTTCACCGCGCGTTAAATTTCACTTCGCCGAAATTGTTGTCGCTGAAAAGGTATTCAATATTTAAACACGCTCCGCGTTGCATTTGCCGCCTACAAAATTCGCTTAACCGACGTCGCTAATAGTTGTAAAACTCTGAATTATATAATTTTACATTAGCCCCGTTATACCAAATACTTCAAGACAACTCGAATCACAATAGGTTGAATATAAATGTTTCTCACAATTGCCACTAGTACTTTAAACCCAATTAAGTTAAACCTAAGTAGATTTCTTTCTCAGCGGCATTTCAATGGAAGTGGTACTTTAAACTAGCTCCAGGACACAAAGGATTAAAAGTGCACAAAAAGTCGTATTTCTACGTGACCTGCGGTTAACGACGCAACGAAGAAGGCCTAATTTTACATTCCCAGCGCGAGGAACGTTAATTATTACATCAGAATGAAGTGTCCGACACCGCGAATCCCTTTGAAATAAGTACCGCCGCGAAAAAAGCCACCGTGTCGGCTTCACGCGGCGAATTTCGTCCGCCGGCGGTGATCTTCTCGTAGCGGATTCGTTTCCGATGGTTTTCACCGCACCCTCCTGCAGCGTTCGAATCCCCTGTGCATTCGTTCGACGCTGGTCCGATCGAAATTTTCGATTCTATGCTCGCTCCTCCATTCCTTCTCACACGTTCCCTTTCCATTTCCCCGTTTTTTCTCTTTTTCCCTCTCTTCCTCGCGCGAACCGAGCCGAAGCAACCTTCGCGGGGAATCGCCCTCTCCGCGAAAGACGAAGTTTAAGGAGCCTTCAAGAACCGGCCAATTAAATTGCGATTCGCAAATTAACTTTGGTAATTATGAGTGGGCTTCGAGAGCGGCGCGATGAGGAAGGGTTGAGGAGAGTTGGGATTACAAACGAGACGGCGGGAACTTGGCAACTTTTCAGTCGCTTTTTATACAACTTTTCTTGTTAAGATCGTGATTATGAATTTTCTATTTGATTGCTCGCCTCGCCCTCCCTCGTCCCCGTCATCATTCATCCGCGGGTAGCCGCGGACGCATTAGCCCTGGCAATTTTGACACGCGTAGCGCGTGTGATCGAGCGATGTGTAACGTGGTTATCGCTCACGCTTTCGTCTGCTTGCATTACCGCTGCACATTAGCGGGGACCGAGGAAAAGAAATGGCGGCCCACCGACGCATGTTCAGTTATTGTTTCGACAGTATGCACAGATTCGTGCATAGCGGATAATTTGTAGCACCAGCGAAACGTAACGAATAAACTCAATTCATCGGTCGCCCACGAACGAATTTAATTTGTTTGTCATCTTTTCATTCGTCATACGAAATAACATTTGCCTGACACTGCATCGGATCAGTCCTCCCGAGGCGAACAGTAAAATTTGTATTTCAATATTGTTGTTCCATCCCTTGCGAGCGCATTACTCGCGAATTTGAATTTAAACTAGAATTTTCAGGTCGGTGGTCGTCGTGTGGCGAGAAAAAACGGCGGGACGCGTGACATGGCTCAACCAGATCTCTTATCTGGAACCCCGGTCGCCTCGCCGGAAAAAGTGCGAAAGTTAATTCTATGGTGAAATTTGTTTCGCGGATAGAAACGGCGACACTACCGCGAGCGCGCGACGCGCGTTGGACGTGTCGGCTGCACAACAGGCGTCGGGGCTCATCCGATGCAGAAACGCAACCTTGACGGCGACATCCGGTAACGCGATGCGACATCGCGGCTGACCGAAACGCGACGGTAATTGACGACGGTCTGCGGTGTCGGAATGGAAACAAAGGTGAAAGACACGCGTGTGCCCGTAGTCGTGTGTGCGCGCTCGTGGAGTAAAGAGCGGGTGGAGCGAACGCGTGTGCGCGCCGCGGGAATGTGTGTCCGTGTAGGTGGAGGGGAGCGGTTGGTTTGCCGGCCAGGTAAATAAAAGAAAAGCGGATCCCCCGCTGCTCCGCGTTTCTATCCTATTCTGTTAAGCGTTCCTCGTCGGCTCTCTCGTCCTTCCTCCATCTTCATTTCACTCGCGGCGCAGCGAAACTGCCTCGCCTCGCCTTCGTTCGTCCTTTCGCCACTCGGATTTTCCACTCGAAACGCGGCACCGTGTTTCCTTCGCTGGTATTTTCGTTTCTGTTTTCCTCCGCTATTCTCATCCGCTCGATGCCAAACACACAATCTCCGTGTCCACCTAAAATACTATTATCTCTGGTTACTCATTTTATACTTTTTTTAATAATCGAATGAATTGGACGTAACGTTGGGCTCGTTGATTTTCGTAACGATCGTTCCATTCTTACGGCATACGGTAATTTTCACCCCACGTTGAGTGTTTCGTATTCTATTACGTGGCAAAAAAGTGCTGCGTGGTACACGCTGCGTCTAGATGTTTATAAAAAATTGAGGATCAGTAGCGTTGTTAAATGATTAAAACGTGAATGCTGATGTCAAATTAATATATTTTTTGTATGGGATTTCTGTATATTTTTAGTGAGCAAACATCAGTGAAATTATCAGTGAACATCAGTAATTCCAATTCAAAATAGAAAAAGCATCATTTCGTCAGAACGTTCCAATGAAATTCACAGAAATTCATTCAATTTTACCCATCGATCGAACCCATTCAGCCGTTCAGCCGCCGTTTTAATCGCGGGCCTCCAAATCATTTTCCAGTTACAATCGTTCGCAGTGAAAATAGCGCAGGGAATATCGTAAATACGAACAAATCTATTTACTTCTAGGATATACATTTAAATGTTTGCGTTACCGCGTGGTATTATAAAATTCAATTGAAAAAAAGATGCTTTGGAGGTTGATTTTAATTCTGTTAACTTGATTTTTTATTGGAAAGAACATTTTTTCAGTGCACTTTGTAATGCACCGTATGTACGTAGAGTTTCATTGAAATTGAAGATTTCAGTCAGTCGTGTGACTTTTGTTTGGTTCTGTTACGATTTTCATTGTGAGTGACTGTACGCGACTAGTTGCAATACACAGGCACGTCCACGTCGCAGGGAACAAGCATACTCAACGCTTCCGATACAAAACATTCAACTCGGAACGGCCATAGGCGAGTCCTCTTTGTTATGGACAAATGGCGGGTCGTGAATCATCTTCGTCCTTATGCCAATAACCGGGTACCCGAGCAACCACTCCTAAATTGCGTTTAAAAACTTTTTATGTTCCCGTCCAAAAATCGTAAAACTCCCATGGATCCCCATTCGTTGAATAATATTACACTGATTTACATTTGTCTCATGCAAATATACGAGCCAAAGTTTTAGGTTATGAAGACTTCACACTTGTTTATACTCCTGTTCAATGTGTACCTGACCGCGTATCGAAACGCACAACCCAGTAGCCAGAATGGAAAAAATGATTTAATTAAAAATCGTTTGTTCATTGATTCGCATTACCGGACATTTCCGTGATATTTCCAGTGGTTATCATTTATTGGAAAAGATCAAAACAGAAACGAAAATCGAGAGAGAGAAAGAGAGAGGAAGGGAGGAGAGATGAGAGGACATAAAAGGTAAATCGTCGATGTATAATTTATCCGTGCAGAAACGCGTCAGGTACCCCGGTACTCCGATTATTAAATACCATAAAAAATGTTGATTATCGACAGAGGGGTTAAGCCGTCTGTCGCTCTGTAAAAATCATTCGACGCAGAGAATTGGAAGTGTGAGATGGAACACATACGAGGGAGGAGATGCGTATCGTGTGTGTCGTGTTGGACTTATCGCCGGTGGCGCATACCTGCACTATCACGACGGTAGCGTTGCAAACGGTACTTTCGGATAATCAGCATTTGTGTAACTCTCTTTCGCTCTTTGTATCATTCGCCTGTCCCCACGAGTCGGTCGAGCTATCTCGTTCCATTCCATTCCGTTCCGTTCAATCCCCGTCTCTCGTCTGTTCCTTCTGAATCCATTTCTCGCTCCTCTCCTCTCCACGCTGTTACCGCCACTACTCTTGCGCTATAGTCGCAAGCAGTGCGACTGTGGTCTCCGACGGTCGGTCGCTCATCCCATCGTTCCATCTCTGTTTCATCCACCGAATACCGTGGTTCCCTCGTCTTCGTCGCTCCCGTCACCCCCACTTAGGCCGCGTTCGCATAGCTCGGTCTCGTTCCATCGCGCACTCGAGACACGCCTCCCACTCGTGGCGCGCGACCGACGTTTACTCAGTCGACGCTGAGCCGCCACGCGTGTTGGCTGAACTGTTCTTCACGCGTTTAAACGCGTCTTATCCGTGCTGCACACCGTCAGCGTATCTTCACCTCGTGTGTCCAGAGTTTGTCGTTACTTTTGTTTGTTTTTTTCCACGTCGCGCGCGCCACTCGAACCTCGAATACTTGAAGGAGACGAGGTTTAGCCGATCTCGCGTTCGCTCTCGTGTACCCGCGAGAACGCGCAGCGATGCTAGATCGTCGGAGCGACGACGATCCAGCCGCCTCGTGCCGCGTGTGAGTGCTCGGTCTTGTTTCTCCTCACCTCCGTCTTTCTTTCTCTGTCCCTCCTCCAGTCGACGCGCGAAACAAGTGGAAAAGAAGTGCCGAGTGCCACGCGTTTATCGTTGTACATAAAACTGCTTTCGTCGTTTCGGTCGATCTCCGTTTACCCTGGCCCGATCCCCCCTCTTTCACGCCGGTTTCACTTTGCCCCGCTGCCGATCCGTCGTTCACGCTCACCCCAGCGTTTTGGGCTCGTTTCCACCTTCGAGACCTGCGTCCCGTCGCTTCACGCCGCGTAAACGTCACCCACACGCGTCGCCGTCGTCCACCACCGGGACCCCGCGACATGGATTTCGTGATACTCAAGGTAAGCGTTCACTTGTCTCTGATCTCTTTGTTGTTGATCCACGCGTTTGGTGTTGCGTGTATAGTCGACCCTGGCGATGGCCGATGTAATTGCCAATATTGGTAACAGTTGTTTGGAATTGTCAATGTTTCATTTATATTTATTTATTTACGTATATGTATGAACACATATATTTTTAATTATGATAAATGTAATTCGAGGAATGGATAGTTGATTTGTTTTAAACTAAAGATTGAAACAGTCACTTTAATTGTACAATGGTATGGTGTTTGGAATTTAATGCATTGTTGATGTTGCTGATTCGCAGAACCCATGACTGGATTTGCGTGTGAATTTCCCCTTAATGACGTCACACTGGCTTATGCTGGTCAATGTAAACAAATGAAATATTCCCATGGCGTCCGATGCATTTTGATGCTTCCGCGTAACTGTATATTGTAATTTGAATATGTTTCGCTCCCAGATGTGCCACTGGGAATAGTTGGTAATATTAACCTAGCAGACCTTGCGTTCACTATTTACATTCTGAATTTCTGTCATTATTGTTTCAAGACTGTTCGATAAACATAGATATTCCACAGTTGTTAAAACATAAGTACATGTAGACATTAAACTCAATTAAATCAGATTTTATAAAAAAATTATGCATATTTGATTCATGGTAACATTTCTTTGTAAATGGCACTTTAATGTGCCTTCAAGCATTGGCAAAATTGTTTAAAGTATAAAATGAATAAATAGTGAATGCTTCAGTTATTTTCATGAATAAAAATACAAGTGAATTTATTTACAATAATTATTAGTACAAAAATATTCTTTTAATACAGTAGTTTTCACGATACTGGTAACACGAAATCCTGTAGAAATCGATTGTCAAAGACTGCAATCGATACACATTGTACCTCTGAAGGTGTATGCAAGAGGTACCATGGTATATTGTTTTCGCGATATTCCATCTCAATAAATATTGGCATTTATGTAACGTGGTTCTATCCGAATATTGTTTATTATAACGGTAACGAACCTCTCTCGATCTTACGAGGAGCGTGATTGGCGAAGCGGATACGGAAAAAGGAAGGTGAGCATAGCATCTATTTCTCCCAAACTGACTCGGTTGGTCATGGGTACCGAGTGAAACGAGAGGGCTACGAAACAGGGATGGCAGAACAGTGAAATCGGAGATTCTTATGCGGGGGTGGCGTCACAGTAAAGCATTCGCATCGAAATAAAGGGTTAACTCTCGCGTAGTCCTATTTATTTCCCCTTTTTTTGTCGAGGGTTCTTCGAAGCGTATTCAAATAATTGTCGGTGGAATGGCGACCTAGTTATCGTATTAATTATCCTGCAATCGAGCTTCCTATTGTGGTTGTTTTATTGTCCAAGTTACCTGTTCGATCTCTTTTTTCTATTTCGATAAATAATAATGCTTAGGCATTCTTTCAATTAGCCCCATTAAGCGCATACGTTGAGGTTAGGGAGTCTGGAGAAGAGATGCCTTAAATTCCGGACTTATGAAATATTGAAAATGGTATTTTTTTCATCTAGAATATTTGAAAGCAATATTTATTGTTTCCTTAGATTGATAATCGTATTAATTTTTAGAAATGTTTCGGAAACGATTGATTAGTGGTAAGGCAATATTTCAAATATTATTAACATTAATGTTTTAAACATTATTTTAGTACAACTGTATTGTAATATTATGTTTTATGGTACATAACAATTAGGTTAAACATGAATATTATATTTTATGCACTCATCTT